GGGTTCTTAAGTCATGGGGGATCCCCAAGTTACCATGGGTTTCAATATGTTTCAATACTAAGTCATGGTCCAATGACTTGAATTGGGGGTACCTCCATTTTAGGAAACCTCCATAAAAATCAAATAGATGATGCCCTTAGGGTATGAACCAAGAAACGAGGGGATTCGACGAATCTTTGAATTCCCTACCCTCGTGAAAGGTGCTGTGAGAGGGGAAAATCCGTAGTAATGAAGTACCTGTACTGTTTCAAGATGCTAAATTCCAATGTCACTAGGGTGCACTTTCCCAGAAGGACATCGATGTCGGGTTTCATCGATTGGCAAGATTTAAGCACAAACTGAACTTTTATGTCTCAAGATCTTATACTGGAAGCATATTATGTATCCTTTGCCACTTTTCCACGTGGCCAATCTTGCATACCATCCAAAAACTTTACATCTAGCTGGTGAGGTATACTCGTACACAACATATACTCAACCCATAGTGCCATAGTGTATACCCTTCTTTAGGGTATACACCGCTTACTTCACCGCATCCTGTCACTGCTGGCGTCTTGGCCCATCAGAAGGTTACGCACCTGGTCAAGTCGTTGCCCCAGTTCGTTAGCGAAGTCGGGTAAATCCAAGACCTAGGCTATATGATAGCTACAGTAGCTACGGGATATCTATGGTTAATGGGGGGTATCAACCAACTCATAACCGGGGGGCGACAATTTGCACCATTTCTGATATTGTTCAATAGGACAATGGCCTGCAAAATGAGCAATTTGGTAAACCCAACATTTGAAGTGTGCATATATATATATATATACACCCATATCATCCCATATCTATATGAAATAGTGGAAACATGTAGAAACATAAAAAAACATTAGCATATATTAGCATACTCACCAAACTTGCTGATTGGTTCCTACTTCCCGCAACGCTCAGCTGATCTGGGCGCACATGTATCGCCAGGGCTTTGGGCCCAGAGGGAGCGTACAACGCCAAGTCCTTAACCTGTCGCAGGAGCGGCCCTGGGTGCCCCGGGTGGGTAACCATCGGGGATTTATGTTGGGGAATGTCTTTGCGGAAACCGTGCGAATGAGATATGTGAAGAAGTCCTTCTCGGAAAAACACACGTATATAAATATTAATGTGTATATGCAATTCCCCAATAGCGATTGTTTGGGGTTGCGAATATGTATATATATATATATATATGTATTTTTTGAATATGTACACCACAATTACATATATAATCATATATATATATATATACAATATCATACACATATATACATGCATATCGGAGATTGTCGGGGTCTGCTTGGTATGTCACGCATCATCATTACTTCGTGGTTGTGAAACATGAGAGGTTGTCCATCAGTCTTATCAACCAACCGACCAACGAATCGGTACAATGGCATGCAACTGATCACCAAGAATAGCGGCAGGTGCTGCTATCAATTGGAACACACACACAACTATTGCACGAATGATCCCGGTATCAATTTCTTGCGCCCCTGGTGGGGGTACCGTACCGTCGAATATCTGGCAGTGTAAAGCCAGCCCTGTCAAAAGGATTGTGATGTCAAGTGAGCTTGGCTCTGCAACTCCACTGGCAGCGTCTCATGGTGATCCCACTGTGTGGAGTTGCCCTGTCCGATACACCCTACAGCTACAGCTGCCGAGGCAAGTTGATCCACTACGCTGGTTCTTAATCATTTAACAGCTTTCAGCCAGCTTCTTTCCTCAGGGCTAAATGGCGCATTCCACAGAATTCCCATCCCAATGTTGGTTAACCACAATCTTTTCTGACGTCTACGGATTTGTGAACAACGTGTGATTCCTGATCGAAGCCTCTGTCGGGATTTGGACCTCCTAAAATGGGTAAAGCAGCAAGCACCCTTTTGCGGTCTAACTTATACCCCTCATTTCATCTTGGATTTCATGCGCGCACCTCTTTCCACCTCCATTTTCTAATATTTTTAGCTTTCTAGCTTGACTATGACATACTATGACTATACCCCATATATCCACATATGTTCATATATTTTCCAGGTTTTTGATAGTTGGACCACGGCCTTTAGATGGCCGTGGCGTTTTGTTGGGGTGGGGTGGGGTGGGGTGGGGCATGTATTAACGTTCATGTGAACTTGCACATGAAGTACTGTAGATGCTACGCTGTGGCTGTCGGTTGGGGCATGTATTCATGGCTGCGGGGTAGGGTGGGGTGGAGTGGGATAATAACGTCATTGGCTCTCTCACACATACGTCACGCTACGCTACTGTACGTTCTCTTGGACTTCCACTCGTACTTCATGCTACACCAGTGTACGTTCTCATGGACTTCTATACATACCTCATGCTACGCTAGTGTACGTTTTCTTGGACTTCCATGCGTACGTCATGCTGCGCTACTATACGTTCTCTTGAACTTCCACGCATACGTCATGCTACGCTACTGTACGTTCTCTTAGACTTCCGCGCATACGTCATGCTATGCTACTGTACGTTCTCTTGGACTTCCACGCATACGTCATGCTACGCTACTGTACGTTCTCTTGGACTTCCATGCGTGCGTTATCTTAGGTTCTGAATGAAGTGGGCGTTGCGTTCATACCTCCATGATGATCCAGAAGATGAAAGACATGATGATGACGATGACGATGACGATGACGACGATGATGATGACGATGACGATGATGATGATGATGATGATGAAGATGAAGTAGATGATGACGGCTGAAAAATTGTGAAAACCAATTAGTTGGGGGCTTTGAAGACAACCCCAAAATGGAGGTTTCGTGTAGGCGAAATGACTGTTTTCACTCTTCTGCTTGGAGCTACGGCGTTCACGGCATTTACACTAAAATCACACGAATTCCTATTGGCACGAGCGCATCAAACATGATCAACAACATCCCATGAATCAAAAACACACACGGCCATCTAAAGGCCGTGCTCCTAGATAGTTTCTCAACTGAAAAGATATGTGTTGGCCCCATGGTTGCGAGTGGCACCGCCTGCAGCTGAAAATCCAGGCTCGGCTTAAGCGCTTCGCCGCGCTTGGGAGCAGGTTGAGGCACCTGCCACAAACGAAGCTCGGTTGCTTTTTAAACGCATTAGGTACAAGTCGTGTGGACATTTCACCAGCATAAAATGGATAAACATTAGCCGCATTACCAGCAAAACTGAAGGATTTCGTCAATGAAAATTGACATTTTACACACAACACAGGTGGCTTGAAGAAGAAGGGTTTGACCAGCACAAATGGGCTCTTGCAGTGTGCGCAACTTGTGCAACAGACCGTGTCAACTCTCATAACAGGAATAAATAGGGCCTGAACCCCTCGGAAAGCAGGGGACTCTGGCGATAACCTGGCAGAAGCGGAGGCGTCTCTTTGATCAAAACAGATGCTAGACCTGGGATGCCCAAAGCCCGAAATCATTAAACAAAAGTCAAATCGGTCCTCTAGTCTGCAATCTTGGTGCCATTATAAAGTTGGACCTCCTTTAGTTTCATTCTGACCTTAAATGCAAGTTGCTCAATCTGGGTTGGACCTAAGGCCTAAGGCTGCTAAAACCGTGTGTGAATTGTCATTTTTGTCTGGGAGATTGTCTGGCACAGGCGCTGTACCATGAGGACATACACGACATATGGGAATGATATATATATATATAAATATATATATATATATTTATCTATAAATATAAGGCAAATGCCTGGGCTTTGCCCGAAACCGCAACCACGACAGGCAACGCATCATCATCATCATCATCATCACCATCATCATCATCATCACCATCATCATCACCATCATCATCACAATCACCAAAATACTCATCATCATCGCCATCGCCATCATCATCATCATCATCATCATCGTCGTGATCATCAAACCCTGGTGGAAGATCTTCAAGGAATGTAGAAGTTCAACGGGGGTGGGAGAATTAAACCCTTATTGAAGATCTTCAGTGAATGTAGAAGTTCAACGGGGGTGGGAGAATCAAGCCATTATTGAAAATCTTCAATGAATGTAGAAGTTCAACGGGGGTGGGAGTATCAAGCCATTATTGAAAATCTTCAATGAATGTAGAAGTTTAACGGGGGTGGGAGAATCAAGCCATTATTGAAAATCTTCAATGAATGTAGAAGTTCAACGGGGGTGGGAGAATTAAACCCTTATAGAAGATCTTCCATGAATGTAGAAGTTCAACGGGGGTGGGGGAATCAAACCCTTATTGAAGATCTTCAATGAATGTAGAAGTTTAACGGGGTGGGAGAATTAAACCCCTATTGCAGACCTTCCATGAATGTAGAAGTTCAACGGGGGTGGGAGAATTAAACCCTTATAGAAGATCTTCCATGAATGTAGAAGTTCAACGAGGGTGGGAGAATTAAACCCTTATTGAATTTCTTCAATGAATGCAGAAATTTAACGGGGGTGGGAGAAGTAAACCCTTATTGAAGTCTTCAGTGAATGAACGGGGGTGGGAGTAGTAAACTCTTATCGAAGATCTTCAATAAAGGTAAAGTGTAACGGGGGTGGGATTTTAATATTCCATAATACCTTAGTTGATCTTCCCAATTAAATGTAAAGAGTAACGGGGGTGGGATTTTAATATTCCCTAATGCCTTTGTTGATCTTCCCAATTAAGTTTAATGTGTACCGGGGGTGGGATTTTAATATTCCCTAATACCTTTGTTGATCTTCCCAATTGAATGTAGAGTTTAACAGGGGTGGGATTTTAATATTCCCTAATACCTTTGTTGATCTTCCCAATGGAATGCAGAGTTGCAACAACATTTGTTGGGAATGGGGACCCTCTACGTTGCAATGCCTGGGCAAAGCCCAGGCGTTGCGCGTAATTATATATATACATACACACACACATATATATATATATTTTCCTGTCTGCATCTTTCATTGTTGCGATACCCTTCTGGGAACTTTGAAATATCAATGCGCGGTGACTGCACTGCGGTTTATTTTGCCACCACTGCACTTCTGTCTGGACATGTTTTGCCTCAGTGCCCCTTGGCATAGGTAGGCATCAGATCCAAAAGGAAAAAGGGGGAAACATTTCTGGCCATCGCGCGCTGTGCTAAAGAGCTGATTTCACCTTCCACCCAAGGGCGGGTAGGGTGCGCAGCGGGCCAATTCAATTTGACATGCCATCTCACTTCTTCAAGGTGGACAGCAAAACATGATTGCATGCAAACAACTATTTCCTGTCTGCATCTTTCATTGTTGCGATACCCTTCTGGGAACTTTGAAATGTCAATGCGCGGTGACTGCACTGCGGTTTATTTTGCCACCACTGCACTTCTGTCTGGACATGTTTTGCCTCAGTGCCCCTTGGCATAGGTAGGCATCAGATCCAAAAGGAAAAAGGGGGAAACATTTCTGGCCATCGCGCGCTGTGCTAAAGAGCTGATTTCACCTTCCACCCGTCTTTCCGCACACTCGGACGAGCTCTCATATGTGTTGAAGCTGAAAGAGTTTAAACACCAACCTTTCAAGATTGTCAAAAGAGCCTTGTGTCACCTGACGCTGAGAAGCTATCTCAACATCTGCTGCCAGAATTGCTGTCTGCAAATGCCATACAAACGGAATAACCTGACACCACTGAGCCCAACGGACTCTATCAGCTGCTGACACCACTGTCGAAGCTCGCAGGACTGCTACTTCCCCCTTGCGGATGTATTCACGAGCCGACCTATCGGATAACCAGCGACCAAAAAGCATGATATCAGAAAATGGAACATTGCGTCGAGCTAATTCACTGGCGCCAGAGCGTCGAAAGGAATGAGTGGTCAGTTGAATGGATTCCGCCCCCAACAACGCGGATAACCGCTTCACCCATCGCAGAACTGATGCATAAGACATGGAGAAAATACGAGCGTCTGGTGCTTCAGGAGTGACCAACGCCAGAAATCGAGACATCCAGGTTACCACTATTGTATTGGTTAACACCACCTTTTGCTCCATGCCTCTTTTTGTACGCGCCAAACACAGGACCAACGAACCACCAGAGAAGAATACATCCTTGAAGGTCAATTGCAAACTTTCACCAACTCGCAGCAGAGCAGAGTAACATAGGCAAATCACCATGGCCAACTCAGCCCTGCCTATAGCAAAAGAAGCAACCATCATAGCGGTAATCAACTCAGGTGGCGCCGCTGGCGCTTGCTGCGGAGGCTGCAAAACCCCCCACGTGTCATAAACTTTCCATGCTGTTTTATAACGAACCCTTGGATTCAACCGCCCTAATGCACTTAAAAGGGAACCAAAATCAGACCGACTAAGCCCCTCCTCGTATCCCTCAACCAGCCATTCGCTAAGAAAGAGATCCTGCTCTGCCTCGTCCATGTCATACCATCGCAGATCTCTGGAAGCCAGCTCACGATTGAGGAGCTGCAAGCCGTGTTGATATCTGACTTGAGTTGCACCTTTCAAGGCACTGAGCAAGAAAGCTTCTACTCGGCTCTGGCCAGGGCCATAACGTGCGGAGTGAACCACACCAAGGATCGCAGCTAAGATCATCATTGCGCGGCGCCATGGGTGAAAAAGGCATATCATAACCATGTTGTTGCGCATACAAAACCCGCCCCACACACAAACGTGCCAATGCTTCACAAAATGAAGATGGATATTTGGCTGTCGCGGTGGTGCGAGAACACTGCTGCTTGGTATCCCAACCAACTAAAGGCAAATGGCAAACATGGTTACAATGTTGCACAATAGCGTCACATCCTGATGGCAACAACAACCCTGTGGGTTTACGAGACTGAGCACCGAAACGGCACTGATGGGTGACATAATACTGGAGTCTGGCCTTGCTCTTCAAGAGTTCGACTTCAGGTGAATGAAACACTGATGGCTTGGGTTCGACCCCCGGATCTGCAGGGTGCCCAAAACCAGTCCATCCACCCTTCATCCGCAGCTCACCCAACATACCAAAACAAATCAATGTCAAACACGTACCCACCAACACTTGCTGCTGCTGTCTTTCATGACGACCCTCGATGCACAACCAAGGACTGCTCCGAGTTCTCAGCGGTACTGGGCCTCTTTTTGTACGGCTCAGTCGTCGATGCCGTGCTGCCGAAAACGTGGAACATGGTGGTGATGCAAACATACCCAGAACACGTCCATGTTGAACCAGCTGCAACAACCACAAGCTACCCTCAGTCTCTAGCAGATCATTACACTGGAAATGCCATTGATGACTGCTCATTGGGGCTAAGGGATCGATTCGCAACCCATGCGCCAACATACCATGTTCCAAAAACAACTCCTCTACGCATTGCACCAAGTTTCGCTCACGCTTCTCACCTGAGCAGAGATGAACAAAGAATCGCTCATTGCCCGACCAATCTCGCAATGTGAAGGGATCAACAAAAATATCTTTGCTCTTCTGCTCCAACATCTGTTGATCATGTTTGTCCAGGGGTTCTTGCCTTGCCTCTGTCTCAAACTTTCTGGAAGGTCTATCAGCAGGGTTGTCAGCACTAGGAATCCAAGGGTAGAAAACTTCATGACCCCCAGCAACCGCTATTGAACATAACTTTTGGCACCGGCAGTTCAACAAACGACTCGCTGACCTACCCTTGCAAAATGCCCCAACGCATGATGCTGAATCCATAGGGTGAAGGAATCTAGCCCCATCATCACCAGGACGTCTCAACCTATCCTCCGCCACCCATGTGGCTGCATCGGCCTCGCCCAAGAAGATCCACTTCGGCGCTGCTGGTGCACCGGCCTCACGCCAATGGAAGCGTTTGACAGGAAGCTTCAACTTCTTGAGGGGACATTGGTCGGCATCATCCAATACTATGCCATGCGGAAGACTAAGATTGGTGTAGAGCCCAGGGTGATCACTAAGTCGCGCCATTTCATGTACAAGCGCTTCCGGCATGTTCGTCCAAGCCCTTCCTACACCAGACATGCTTGCATCACTACATTCAACCCTACTTGAGAACTTTGAGGACATGTCGAACTGCGCATAAGGTAACAACATGGCCGCAAACATCAACTCAATCCAGATGTTGTCAGGGATTCGGGTCATACGCACCTGGTCTCGACGCAGTTGGTCAAGCCACTGATACACCTCCACAAAAATGGATCGCAATGGGGGTCTGCAGGAATGAACATAGCCATACTTACCCACCAACCGCTCCATGTCACCAACCAAAACTTGATGTTGTGAAAGCAAATAAAACGTGGCTTGCAACAAATGAGACCGCTTCGGCAAACTGACTCCAACCCAATGTTGCTCTGGATGAACAAAATAACCTTGCACTTCAGCTCCATGTTGTATGTCTACGGTCTTCTTGACATTGGGATCAACTCCTCTCTCTTTCCACGCCTCCTCGGCACGAGTGAGCCATAGAGGTCCCACTGTAGACGCTTGGTCATCGGCCTTGGCATTGTCAATGGCCCAAATGTCATCACAAATGGACCCCCAGATGGGAAAATCTCGTGGGGCCAATTCATCAGGATGTAAACGGCATTCACGATCTAACCCAGCTGCTGTAGTAGTTACGTCAGTCAAAGCCTGAGCCCAACCTGCACTTGGTCCAAAACCCATGGGGGCCGATCGACAAGCTGGGTGCCAGACGTGACCTGACAAAGTAACAATGGGTGGCCCACACAACCACTTGTGCCATTTCCTGCCAATTCGAAGGGAATGGAAATAATGCCTCGCATCACGTTTAGACACTACTAAAACTCCTGGCTTGTATGAACGCGTTGCCCTAAGCTTGGGAATATACGCAAACCGGGGTCTTGGTAGCTTGTCTGGATCCAACAATTGGTTAACAGCTGGATCTGTGATGACTCTGTCCTCATCCTCATCCTTGGGAACTGCAAACGCGCCAGTTAAACATAGCTTGCCCCTGTGCTTAGCAACCTGTGATGGTTTCTTCAGCACGTGAAGACCAGCCTTGACATTTCGCTTGACCAGTTCGGGATAAGTGCGATTAACCCATGTATGCCCAGGCTTGACGCGACCAGGACGCTTGTTGGGCAGCAAGAGCAAGGCTTTGGGCTCCTCCACCTGCCTGGCCAAATGTGGAAAAGAACCCTGAAGTTCCTCAGAAAGATTCACAGTGGCTGCCGTGGCTGGCACTCCTCCACGACTGCCCAGTGACATTGCTACTCCTCCTTCAGCATAATGCTGCTGATGCTTCAAAAACTCCTGAATCTCTAAAGGACCCAGCAATGCCCCATCCACCATCATGGAATGGAGCTCACGCTCCAACCGAGCATGGACCCGTCTGTGGGCTGCAGTCAACACTGTGGCTGAATTATGACTGCCCCCGTGAAGCTCATTCAACACTGCCTGCACCAAGTTGACACCCCTTGCTATGGCAGAATCATCCTCATCATCCAGGTTACCCATACGATAACGAACTACTCGGCCATCTGTACAAAAAGGAGGCAAAGGGAAAACATGAGTTGGACTTTCACCGACTGATCCATCATGGAAAAATTTGGATGTGAATTCGCAAGCCCTCTGCCACGCCGCCTGCGCCACACCAAGCTGCCAGAGCCTCCTCCCAAAAGAGAAGACACTGCCACCATGTGCGAACAAGCCTTCCAGAGACGCAAAGATCATGCAGAAGTAGGACCCCATAGTTGTAGGTTCACCCCCATGGGCGAGCTTCCACCGCTTCAGGGCCCTCCTAAGCTTGAAGCCTAGTTGGTCAAAGCCAGCATTGAGCTGCTGGCCAAGCTGTTGCCTGACGGAATGAGTTCGATCGCCTCCGCCTTGTCCCATGAACCCCCTTTCCTCTTCGCCTGCTGCACTGCAAGGATCCTTTGAGCAAGGATGTCCATCGCCCGAGCTATCTCTCTTCGGTTGATGGAATCCATGGCTTCGGCCAAGGTCAGAACTTCTCGAATGTCTCTGATTTCCGTCAAGCCCGCATGCTGAGTTGCCCATGACACCACTGATGCTTCGCGAAGCTGCGAAGTCTTGGTCACCCGGCCCTTGGAGAGCCTGGCAAACACCGAAGCGAGGAAATGTCCGGATAGAGCTCCTGGATGCTTGGTGGCGTAAGCCAACAATTCTCCCTTCTTCTTGAAGCGCTGCATGTCCAGAGCATGAACTTCGTTGTAATCCACTGACCTCGACTTTGCTTTGTGTCCCCATCTGATGGGGGCATTTGAACTTCTGGATGAACTGCTGGCGCCGCTCGAGCGACTTGAGCGGGACCTGCTGCCACTCGAGCTGGTGTCCAAGTCTTTGGATCTCTTTTTCTTCTTCTTCTTGGACGACCGCTTCTTGTCTTTCTTTCTCCTCTTTGCAGAGTGGTCCCGCTTGGAACCGCTCTTGCGAGCCATCTCCTTCAACTCGTTCACCACATCTGACAGGCTCTGCATGTTGAAGGCGTCTCCTGGTGAGCCTCCGTTGCTTGGCCCCAAGCCCCCGGCAACCGCGGGTCTGGCCACTGCCATACCCCCTCCTCCTGCGACGGCCTGAGGCTGCAAGTCCAACGCTATCAAATCCATGCCCGTTCCAGGGTGAGTGACCTTTGACTCCGGCACGCCTTCTCGGCTCAATTGCAGTCCAACCATCTGTCCCTCTCTCTTCAAAGCATCCGCCTCGTCGGCTGTGGGGCTCCACTTCTGATGGAGATTCGTTGGTTGGCATATCCAATTCACTATGGCATTGTTGATTCCAGCTGGAGGTCCTCTCCCTACTCCGGCTCCTACTGGCGCTCGCATGCTGCCTACGTTCACTCTCACAACTGACCATTGCCACGAAGTGCCGTCACCACTGGTGGTTCTCACTAACAGGTCTGAAGAATTGGGGACCACACAAGCCGCCCACACTTCGTCCCATTCACCTGCCCGTTCAAGCAACAGGAAACCTTCCAAGGCCGGGCCCGCCATAAGACAGGTTAGCTCCCTGTGGTCTGCTCTTACAGGTGGTGCTTCCAATGGCGCCAGGGCTTGTGAATCAGCAGGCTTGCACAACCAATGGAACCAATAAAGGAGGTTTGTGATGATGTGGCAGAAAATCTTAAGCAGGGCAATCAGTTCTGATCGAAGCTCAATCACCAGATAAAAACTCAGCAGATAAAAGGGACCCCACCAATCCGTGGGAATCCGATAAATCCCCTCGCTCACCAGTGAATCACCCAGAAATGTCACTAATTGCCCAACAGATTGCCTGGCCACCTCTCGCACGGTCCACCTCCACACCCCAGCTAGAGACAATCCAGTCAATATGGCTATCCCACTGCGGTGTTCTACAAGGCTCATGACATACTTGAGCCAATTCAATTTGACATGCCATCTCACTTCTTCAAGGTGGACAGCAAAACATGATTGCATGCAAACAACTAATATAGTATGGAATGATTGTGGATTCTCCACGGAAATTGTGGGACAATCCCATGTACTCTCCGATAATCAAACGTGGCATGCTGGAAAATCCCTCATTTTACTTCGATGATTTTCCCGGATTCCATTCATAGAGATTTTCCCAGCTATCAACTTACATTTATAGAAATTTTCCCAGCTATAAACTTCTATGGAGATTTTCCTAGCTATAAACCTCGATTTATCTATGCGATTCTCCCAGCTATAAACTTGCATTTATAAGTGATTTTCCCAGCTATAAACCTACATTAATAAGCAACTTTTATAGGGGATTTAAAGGGGATTTCTGGGTAGCCTTGCAGATTCCCAAGGGGATCTCGAGGTTCACCCCAGTCCGCGCACAGGTCGTCTCGAAGCTCAAGGCTGCTGACGCCAGAAGCACCTGCTACCGGCCACCATTAAGGGCCACCATTAAAGGTTAATGTTGGGGACACCAACTGACACAATCTGCAGTATATACTATCATATACTATCTATCTATGCAAATAAATACGTATGTCATGAATTGTCATGATTTGTAATATAATGCAATGCAATGTAATGTAATGTGATTTGATGTAACGCAGCGTCAGGTAAGGTAACAGTAATGTCATCGTATGGTATCGCCTGGTGCCGTATGGTATATACTCTAGTAATCAGAAGAGTAGTAGCGTACATGGAAGACCTATTCACTCTTTATAGTTTTTCATTATCTGGACTCTAGACTCTAGACATGGTGGATTTTTCTGGTTGCAATGCCTATCCACTGGAAGGCAACATAAAGAGTCCGCATTTTTGGTAAACACACATCATCTGGGCTGGTGATACCCAAGATCATCCCTTGTCAACTCCTACCAACAGCACGTGTGTTGTACAAAATGCTTTAAACAGGCTTGACAACTTGACAACTTTCCGAATTGCATCCCCGTGATGTACCGGCAAAACCACTCAACCTCTGGGGAGGTCAACCTTCTAAATTCTCAAACAGGTACCCCCAAATCCCCTAATTTATCATCATTTTGCTTACGAAAACGGTGATTTTGGGGTATCTTTTTGACTCAAATCGCTCCGCAGGTCGCACTTCGAAGGCATACCATGACTGATGGCACTGCATCCGCGCTGAGGCCTCGAGCTTCAACCCCGAAAGAAACCGCAATGACTATGTAGGTATATCGAAACTATGTGTCTAGATGTTGTATATCGACAAAATTCAGACACATTCACACATTATTAAAAAAATATAAATGTAATTATATATCTATCTCTTTCTGTATGCAGATAATACGTAGACATACAGTTAAAAATTAATTTTACGAACTAATTGCAATACAAATGGTGCGCAAAGGGCTGGAACAAAAAAAACAAAAAACACCTGGTGGGAAAATCCTTCCCAACTCCTACCTGGAGGCACCGGTGGCTGCCAGTACCTTAGGCCAGGTGCATGATGCCAGGACCAAGTTCCATGGGTTCCACGATCTACAACTGGGGTTTGAACGGTTTAGCACAGTTCGAAACAGTTGGCAGGGGTTTCCCATGTCAAACATATGGGTTTTCCATACCGAAGTGGACTGAGGGATTAAGGGATCCAACATGATACAACGTATCAGTACTTCCAACGTGGTGCGGATCCAGGTTTGACAGTATATTGCAAAATTTCAGTGGTAGTTTCTCTTGAACAGAAACCGTCACTTGCAAAAAAACACACGCACAAAAATACAGCGGCAAAACCACCTAGACATCCACTAAATATTTTTTCAACGTGGAACGTGTAAGAACTTGAAATCCAAAAGATGAATGAGATCCAAAAGTTGGGAGGCAAGTAATCTAAGCCGGTTGTTACCAAGACCCCACAGTTTGACTAGGGAAGAATCGATCAAATTCCCACATGACGCTCTCATTCCAAAGCCACAACTGTCAAGGACAACCAGTGAACAAAACAGTCCCCGCCACAAGCTTTGGACTGAAAACTTTGAAATTGTAAAGGTTGTCAAGGATATATGGTATAGAATATCAAAGATCATCAATACCTATCTAAATCACAGCTGTGGAATAGATAATCAAACAACAACATTATGTACATATACATATATATATACATACATGAACGATTTTACTTGTAGAAACCGTATATATATATATATGAATGATGTATATATATATATATCTAACAATATACATACATATGTAAACATACATAAATACATACATACATACATTCATGCATGCATACATACATACATACTTTCCATTCCATTCCATTCCGTTCCGTTCCGTTCCATTCCATTCCATTCCATTCCATTCCATTCCATCACATACATACATGCAAAGATATATATATATCTGTAAATATATATATACGCATAGATATGTATACATATTGTGGAAGGATTGGCATGTACGCACATAAAAAACAAAATAACCCAGGCATATGTATATATATATATCTTACTGTATTTATATAACACACGAAAACACTATAATTAACTATACATGTATATATATATATTTATAAACACACACACATGTATATATATATATATACATATGCATATATATATACAGATATATAATTGATATATATATATATATGTATATGTTTGTGGTCTTTCACCCCAATGAAATAATCGTTGTCGCTCAGCGGTCCTTTTGTTGAATACCTGTTCAAATCATGTTCCTCAAACAACACAGCAAATGTCGCGTTCGCGGAACATTCGCCACGGCCAAACCACTGGGATCCACTGGGCACTTTTCCTGTGGTAAGTTTGCAGTCCCATTCATTTTGCATCATGTTGCCGGTTCTGAAATATGGTACCTGGTAGCTGATAAAACATGATAATTAGAACTGAGTCAGCCAGGATCAAACATGATAAAGCATGAAACTGGGACACTCAGAAAATGCGATAGGTTTAGAATGGTGCTTTCTTGGAGAAATGTCTCAGAAAGGGATGGTATCACCGGAATCCTCACTTTCCAAGAGACTTTGCGGAGAAAATCAGCAGGAGTTTTTCCGCGTGCATTTGGGATGTCACACCGCGTCCCTGCCAGAATGCTGAAGATCAACGGAGTTGAGTCATAATGACGGTAGGCTACATTTGTGAGGGCTGAGGGGCTTGCATAGTGGATGAGCTGAAGTATTTTCATAAAAGACCACATTGTAGTGCCAGTCACAGGAGCATACAGCCGCTCGTTACAGCCGCTCGTTCACGTCTGCTGATGCCTTGATCAAGCACGAGATGGTGTGGATATCTCCATTGAAAGCCAATGTGCAGCGCAAGCAAAATCGCAGACTGACTTGTTTCCCCATGGATGCCAGCAACTCGTTCATGACCCCAAGGCTGCCACAGCAGCAGGCTGACCGAAATGGGCTTAAACCAGGATGGCTGTTGAGACTGCAATCCGCCTTGGCTTCTAAGAGAAGATGAACTGCCTTCACATTGTCCGAAGCACATGCCCAGGGCACCTGCAGACTGCAAAACCTCATTGCTGTGGTATGCCGCAGCCAGGGCTAGAACTGAGACCTTGTTGCCTGAGGTTGGCAGGTTGGCATGCACGGCGGCCTTGGTGATTATGTCATTGGGGTTGGCGCTTCTTTGCAAGAGGGCTCTCACCAAAGAGACATTCCCTCCCAGCACGGCGTAGCAAAGTGGGGACCAGCCTGCAGAATCACGCTCTAAGACTCGTTTGAGCTGGTTGTCATGCAGGAAACGTGAAACCATGAAACCATTTGCATCATGGGAAGGGTCAATGTCTGTTTCAAACGCAGGTACCAAGCTCTCAATGGGTTGTAGGCCAGCAAAGCCTCGTAAGCAATAGTAGTGGAGACTCAGAAGAAATCGATACTTGTGGGCTTCACCGCTGTCTAAGAGAGAGTGCAACTTCTTCCAAAGCATTTGAAGAACCACCTGGCCAACAGTGCTCCTATCACTCTCAACGCTAAAGTCTCCTCAGGAGAAATAGTCATACCAAATGTGGAGCGAAATTGCATTGACGCCAGATGCCTTGGGACACTTGACCCGCCCAAAGACAGATTCTGCCTCCAATGAAAAGGAGGCCCGGCTTCGACCTGTGATCAAATTCTGCATCGATTCGGTTGTAGAGCTGCATGCGGCGGTGAAGCCAGCTGCAGCAGGGGACTGTGCCAGCCGCTAAAGCGCCGGAGCAGCATCAGATGCCGCCGGCGCCCGCTGCTGGATGGTGGCGGTGTTGCCACAGTTCCTCAAGCAATGCCGTAGCAGATGTTAAGAGTTCAGTGTCCTTAGTAGAACATTCCTCAGTAGGCCAGAGCCAACGAGCCTGCAAATCATCAACTGGCCCATGCTTGGGTTTGATTGGACGAGCTGGACATTCCCAAATGATGTGTTTCCAATGTCTCAACTGACCACAGCCCCAGGTACACAGGTTGCCTGGTGATTGACGGTGAAGTGTCGCAGGAGAAACTACTGCACCTAACAGGAAAGTTCTGCTGGCCCCAGTGGCCGTCCTTAGCCAATCCCTTGTGGCCTGGACACGCCCAGGCAGAAATTCAAGAGGAATGTCTGGAAGCTCTCTGCGGCCGCTAGCCTGGAAGCTCTCTGCGGCCGCTAGCGCGCAACAACTTCCACTGCTCTATTCGCCACGCTTCCCGTGACAAGTGACAGATTCTCTTTGAGTCATGTTCGTCCCCAATGCTAGGCACAGGGATACTTTGGTTAGGGATTTTCGGGTGAGTCCAACGTTTACCCAAACGGACATGGTCGCTTTCTGACCAGCCCGTAAATTTGAGCCATTCCCGGGCAAACGTGCAGCCTGGGAGTTCCCAGATCTACTTGCAGTGTCTTCAGCGCGCACCATTCGCCTGAGCCACAACACCAGTTGTCGTGTTCCCACAACTGGCTCTAAAACAGTAGTGCCCCCCTTCAAGGAGTCTCCTTAGTGCCGGCGGTGACTGTCTGAAACCTCCACAGGCTTTGTGGACCGCCTGGCCCAAAGCTTTGCTAAGTTCCTTAGTAGGTCCCTTACCTGTCCAACCATAGGCCGCCCTGCTGAGGACAGTTGCCCGACATGTTTCAAGTTTAGCCACCCGAGGGAGTGGTAACAAGGCAATTCTTTGGGCAACTATCTTTGCCAAAGAGCGATCGCGTCAGTCTACCAACATGGCTACCGAGGACCTCAGCAAAAGGCAAAATTCTGGCTTGAAGACTGTGGCCTTGCAAATTTTCCCTTAGTCTATTTCCTCGGTGGCTGTTCGCTGCCACCAGCTGAGCCTTTTGTTCATTCTCCCGGAAACCAAAGTTAGAAGAGAACTGGAACCAAATGTCACAAGTTTGGACAAGGTGTTGGGGGGATTTCAGGATGAAACTACGGTCGTCCATCCAAACGAAGTGCTTAGGAACAACAGGACTCAAGTCTCTTTCAACGTTTTTTACCCCCAAAGACATGACGCAGTTCATGGCTAAAGGCGAAAGTGGATCTCCCTGTGGAATCCCAATGTCTGTGGTCACTGCCTCTCAGAAACGCATTTGTTCCATGTCATCCACCGTTGTTGGTGGAGCCATTGGCGTCGCAGGACGCCAGTGAGTCGGGGGGGAATCGGGGGAATTCCCAGAGTCCTCATGGAAGTGGTGGCAACTTCCGCTTGAATGTTGTCGAAGGCTTGGGAAAGGTTTAACGTGGCAAAGAACCCATCGATGTGCAGCAGGTCATGAAGTTCTGATGTGACCATGTCAGCTCCTTGTTGTGTTTCCGGGCCTCCAAGAATCGAGGAGGGCAGAGGTTCCTTATACCAATGCTTCATGCTGTCAGATTGAGCCCACATTGATGCAAAAAGTCGATACCAACAAGAATAAATGTTAACTGTTAATAGGTCTGGTGTTTCTGGGGTCCAAAAGATTGTCCTCAGAAACCTTGTTAGCCTTACGCAAATTAATCTGCTTACTGTCCTGAATACCTTCAGGCGTTTGGCCGTATGTTTCCCATCTTTCCGTAATGACAGGGGTAAAGCTCGAAGTTCTGAGCTGGTCCACTGGTCCGGTCCTGGAGCGCCATGACGGTGTTTGACAGCCTTCGCCAAATCAGCCATAGTTGGGCGGACGCCTGCATAGTCACGGTGAAGTGGCTGAAGGAGATCCTGCACCATGGCCACCATGGAGAGTTGTTGAGGCAGTGAGAGTTGTGCTCGGTGTCTTGCTGCATTCCAGTGGTTTGTGATGGCCGCAATGGAATTTTCATCGCCAAGGAAAACTTCACCATTGGACGCCAGTAGGCAGGTGAGGGCATTCCTGACCTCTGTGGATCCACCTGAATCTTGTAGCCAATTTGGCTCATTGCTTGCCGCCAGTTCTGAAGCTGCCCAATTTCTTGCTGAACTTGCAGGAAAAGGTCCGTAATGGAGACATCTTGGGCATCGAAGTGGAGCTTCTTGCATAGTCTTTGAATTTCCATGTCTCCTGGTCTGTCGGTAAGGAGTACTTGCCACTTTGGCCACTCCGTTTTGGGCGTTTTCGTTCTTGCATGGAACCAAGCCGTTTTGTGTTTCGACGGCTCACCCACACATGCTTGGGAGGTGTGTTCCGGGCCTTGACCATTCGGCAATTTTGGTTCCATTTGTGGAATTCAATGGAGTTGTTAATCGTCTGATCCAAGGCGAATTTCTTGGCCGTCTCATCAAACATGTTGTGTATCGCTTTGAGGAAAGTTTCCCATTCGAGGTTGACGTCCAGGTTGGGAGAATCCAGCACATGAAACAGCTCCCGTTGGGCGTCGCTACCCTGTTTCCAAGTGGATTCAAGCATTTCTGTCCATGTTGTGCTGGAGATGGAAGGCGGTTGTTTCCACGAGCCTCTGTTCTGGAGAATCCCTCTGTGAGAATCCAGTTGCCATGTGGCTGATGGTCACCGATTTTGCTATGTGCTCACCGAGGACTTCCGTCATGTTGGTGACGTTGCTGCAGAGTGGGAGCTGGTTGCAAAAGACCAGGTCCAAATCCGTAACCTTTGATTTCCATATCGAAAGGAGGTGAAGTGGCCCAACTGCACTTCCCTGGAACTGTTGGGCTACCGTATGCGCACATGATTCGTCAAAGTCTTCATTGAAATCTCCTCCCCAGAGCCACGGTCGATTGCCTGCAGCGCAACCGTGGTGGAGGAAAAGTTCTTGGGCTGCCTGCGCAGCCGAGTCAGCAAGTCCAGGTCTGGGAGGGACGTAGATGTTGGAAAGAGTCACTGTGTTCTGCAATCTTCCTTTGCTTGAGTTCACGATGGACTGCCGTGAGTACTCCACCTCGTGCTCGCATTTGGCCCCACCTGTCTGGTGTGGTAGCCCCCGGCACATAATAGGTGTTGTAGTCACATGAGGTCAAAAGACATGTCATGGTTTTGATTTCGCTGTTTGAGCAAGCTGCTTCTTGAGGGCTAAAATCCCTGGTTTGGTCCTTTTCTCATCCTGCAGCAGGCCTTCAATGGCCCTTTTAACTCCAGGTCCCCCTTGCACATTTAAGGGAAATGACTTCCAGGGTTGAGGGTCCTGGGTTTTTCGCCTCTCCTACCCTGATACCCTTGTAAGCCAAACAATGTCCTCCTATCCTAGCATTGGAACGTTTGTTGTCAGGAACGATCCTGGTTTCAACCCAAGCCTTGTTGCTTTTTCCTAAAGCGGCTTGTGCTGACAATGAGTTTCCTGAGTTTAGTGACCGTGTAAGGGGGGACACAGTTCTCTGCTCGCATTTCCAAGTGTGAAGACGCTTTCTACCACCCGCAACAAGGCACACCTTACACATGTGGATAGCTTCAGTGTTATCTTCGGGTTTCTGTTCTGTCAAGGGTGCGTTGTGCTTTGTTCTTGTCGAAAGAGGCTTCGGGATGGGCCTGTTTTTTGTGCGCAGCGACGCTCATGATCCTGTGGTGTTTCTTTTCGATGTAAGGCAAGCCGCCTTGGCAGATGTTGCAAGTCCAGCTACGCTGATCCATGGGGATGTGTTGGGACACCGCGAAGATTTGCGTTTGTTGACCTATGCGCGCCTGTTGTTTGTATTGCTGCCTTTCCTCAGAGCTATGGCGTTGCATCATGTGATTGGTTTTGGTGTACCGCAACCTAAACCTAGCATCCGGGCCCGCTTGACTGTTGACCGTGTGGTTACAAATGTGGCAGGTCCAAACCTGAGCTTCCTGGGGACACGTGTCCTTTTTGTTTTGCTTAGGGCGCTTGTCCTTGGTACGGGGGTACGCCATTGTGTCTTCGCGAAAGCCCTTAGAAGAGGACGCGGATGAGGATGAGGCAGGGTTGAGGTCATGTCTAAGAGCCGCGGTTTAGTCAAGAGACGAAGGTGCAAGTGACAGCGAGTCTTCCATCCTTGAGTCACAGCTACTTTGTTTGTATGTGCATCTTTTCAATGGCCTCCAGTTTTTCACACCCGGAGCTGATGAAATTTGGCTGAGAAAGGACCGAGCGAGCTGAGGATGCTCCCAAATGATTCTGATGGCAGTGAAAGGACCGAACGAGCTGCGGATGCTCCCAGATTGAGCACACTACCAGGCCCCGCACCTCTAAGTTCCTGACTGCTCGGCCTTCTCGTCATCTGCAACCAAAATTCTGGAATGGGGGAGTCATGTTGGTGTTTCAAAAGGCAGCGATCGTGGACGTCCTTGAGGGTCAGACAAATAGGAGTCTTTTTTGATCTGTCCTGTCCCTCTCTGGATCCCAAAATGACATATCGCTCTCAAACTTCGTTGTGGTGTTTCCAAACAATTATATCTGGAGACTGATTGCGAGGGCTTGAATCAGCCAGCCATCGGCATAGAACTTTTTCATGGCCGCCAGTTTGAAGTATTCCTCAAAGTTTTTGGGTGGGTCCACCATTCCCCCCCTCATCGTGACAGTTTCCTGGGGGTCGTGGACCCAGATTTTCCTGCTGAGCTTACAGCTGGCCAACTCTTTAACTGCCAAGGTGCGAAGTCTGGCACCTTCTCTTTCAGCCGAATCCTTACAGAGATCCTTCTTTTGTTGGTTCTGGGCTAAACACTGAGCGACGCAGCGAAAGGCACAGTCACCTGATCCGCCGTAGCCCAAGATTCGCCAGTTGTCTGGGCAGTTCGCAATCAATTGGTCATCAGGTTGTTCCATCTTAGAAGAATTTAATTCCTTTTTGGTTTTATCTTGTCTTTTCGGTGATCGTTCTCTTTGAGAATCGTTAGTGGATTCCTGGGTTTGTGTATCCAAAACCGTCAGAGGAATGGAGAGGTTCGACTTATCCCCTTGGTTGGATATTTCCGGTCTTTTCTCATCAACCCATCTTTTAACAGGTCTATTGATCCACTCAGAGTCTTTTGAGTTTCTCGCTTTCGTAGTGCTGGGACTGACTGTAACATGGCCAGAGTCATCTTTATAGTGCCAAACAATTTGGGACCCATTTGGGGGTCTGGCCTTCACAAACCACTCTGGCTCATTTCCTCTCGTGAAACTGCGGCGGCGTGAGACGACCACCAAATTTGTCCATCCTTGGCTTCCCAACAACATCCGTATTGATCAAATTCTGCAGCGCTTTCTGCAAAACTCCAAGCTGCTCGAAGTCTGGGTCAGGGTGATGGCGAGCGATCCATTGATGCAATACAAACATGACTTTGCCAAGCGTCAAACATTGGAAATTCACCAGTGCACCAGCGTCCATCAACTCCTCATGTGATTGCATCCTGGTCATTGTAATCAGAACCTCCAAGGGCACTGTCATCATGGGAAACGCTTGCGGGTCATTTCCGAAGGCCATGGAAGGAAAACGGTGGCACCTGCCGAACCGTCAAATTACATTGGGGGTGCGACTTGGGCCTAGAGGGACAAACATGAATGGAATGCGCGCAGTTGCGCCAGGATTCCAGCTTTTTTGTCTCTCTCTCTCTGTGTAAATAAATAAATAAATATATATATATATATACATACATATATAAAGACAAGATAAGATAAGATAGGAAAAGAAAAGATAAGATAAGATAAGTAAGAATAGATAGATAGGATAGGATAGGACAGGATAGGATAGGATAGGATTATATAGACAAATGGATGGATAGATATAGATATACAGAAAACAGCTAGATAGATAGATAGATAGATAGATAGATAGATAGACAAATAGATAGACAGACAGATAGTGGATAGATGTATTCCTCTGACATATGGCGCAATCAAGACACACCAATATCCTGCCCATAAACTTCTGTGCATCCCTGCAAGTCGTTGTCCGAGCCCAAGATAACATCAAGATGCCATTGACCTTCCTGGTGCTTGTAGACCGGCTATCAAATTTATGGCTGGAAGCCAAGCATGTAGTGCAAGAGAGCCATATTCTCCGTGTTTTGAGCTTTCCAGGTAAGTTTCTGAGGTGAATTCCCCCGAGAATCACAACAACTAGCTGCATGATTGCAAACCCCAGAACATGCAGGTTTTATTTTGCCTATCTGATTTACATATGATATGGGGGGTAATGTATATGCATATGCATATGTATACGCGTATTTTTGTATATCTATCTATCCATCTATCCATCCATCCATCCATCCATCGATCCAATCCATCCATCTATCTATCTATCTTTTCTTCGATCTATCTTTTCTTCGATCTATCTATCGATCGATCTATCTATCTATCTATCAATCTATCAATCTATCAATGTATCAATCTATCAATCCGTCAATCCATCAATCCATCAATCCATCTATCCATCTATCCATCTATCCATCTATCCATCTATCTACCTATCTACCTATCTTCTGGTGTGTCTTGATTGCGCCATATGTCAGAGGAATACATCTATCCATCTATCTGTCTGTCTGTCTGTCTATCTATCTATCTATGTAATATTATGTAATATGCATATTAATGTTGCAATCCGCATTGACCATATCTTACCCCCTGGTGTTGACATTGGTGCTTGTGGTACTTCCCCCTACAAGGTGGCGCCGCCCACTTTGGATCTACTGTACCACTAGTGACACTAGTGGCCTAGTTCTCCGAGTTATAAACCAACTTAGCTACAGCAAGTACTATGGGACTATGGGGCATCACCTTGTAGAATTCCGTACTCCTGGAAATTACATGGATCAAACACATCTATGATATAAATGCTGAGATGACATTTATCTTGCCCATGCCGTATCCTTGCGGACACTGAGATCAATCTGAGAGGTATCTCTGCCATCTGTTTCTAGAGTGACAGGAGCCGCCAAACACTTAAGCAGATTCTAACATTGCTCAGTGATATCACCATGTTTTTCTTCAACTTTGGAGGCTTTGACATTTTCAGTTGATCCCGAAAAATATTCCAGAAACGTTGCATCTTCCGAATTCTTCCCATCCGCTTGGAAACCTAAGAGCTTGTCCTGTCCTCATCCTCCTCCAAAGCTTCCGGATCCAAGGAGAGACGCGCGTAGACGGCCTGGGCGAGTAGGAATTGACCCCTTTTTTTTTGGGGAAAAAATGAATAGAACTATATATATAAAACTATTCTATTCTCAGGACACGGGTTGCTAAATGTCCCAATCAACATCACCCAACTATTGGGACTGTAGATATGAATGTAGTCTTCAATAAATACATACAAATTACCTGAAGGTGATGATCAAAAAATCCCAAACAAGAACATTTGCCAACCCCTGCAGGATTATCAGGAATATTTGGCAATTTTAACGGGAACGTATTCGCTTCGCTTCGGACGTGCCAACCCTGAAGGAAGCCAATATTGGGATGGTTTCCCAATCAAATCCAAACAATATTCTCAATAAAATCCAAGTAAACTCAATGTGGGAATTCTGATCAGTGAATAGATAACAGTAGATTCGCCAAAATATTCCAAATCCCAAATAATTTTGGGATGGTTTTCACAATCTAACCACTGTGGTGAGGTTGGCCCGGATTGATGTTAGGCTGGGTGTGGGTGGATTGAGGAAGAAATTCACAGAACATCTGCAGAAACAATGGGTTTGTACTATCCACATTATCCAATATGGGGATGTTCCTGAACATATTCTTTTCAAGACGTTCTTTTTGACGGATAGAACTAGCAATGTTTACAGATGCTGCACATTCCTGTCATCAATAGTAGTTATCCATGTCGGAGGGACTCGAGATCACCACCTATATATATTGAATCACATTCATGCATCATGACGTTACCTTCAAGGAAGCCCTTCACGGAAGCGCGCACATACACAAATACACACATATATGTATATATATATATATATATTATATTTATATGCATATGTACATATGTATATTATATACATGCATACATATATATATGTATACTTATGTATACATGTATATATATATATCTATATATGTACATGTATGTAAATCTAAATATACATATACAATATATATATGTATATATATATATCTACTTATGTATGTGTATATATATATATATGTATATATGTGTGGCACGTATACATATGTAAATGTACAAATACAAATGTATATGTACATATGTATATATACATATGTATATACATATAAACAAATATTTACATATATATAAATGACTTATGTACATATATATATACAGATACGTATACGTATAAGTATACGTATAGGTGTATGTATGTATGTATGTATGTATGTGTGTCTGTGTGTCTGTGTGTCTGTGTGTCTGTATGTCTGTATGTCTGTATGTCTGTATGTCTGTATGTCTGTATGTCTGTATGTCTGTATGTCTGTATGTCTGTATGTCTGTATGTCTGTATGTCTGTATGTCTGTATGTATGTATGTATATATTTGTAAATATACATATCCATCTATATAAATTTGTATATATATATATATATATATTCCTGTATATATATATATTCATGTATATATATATATATGCATATATGTGTATATGTATATATGTATACATGCATATATGTATTATATATGTATATGTATATATATATGATTATATATGTATATACATATATATATATATGTATGTATGTCTATGTATAATGTATATATATATATATGTATAATATATGTATATGTATATATATATATAATGTGCGCTGCTTTCGACATGCGCATGGACAAATCTTCACCCTTTCTCACGACGCAAAACGCAGAAATGGCTCGTCGGCCCGGCCCGGCCTCCCCAGAGCTTCTGAGCGAGGTGAGCTCCGAACTCGGGAAGACCTGCTGGAGAACTGCTCGTGGTGAGAAGTTAGATCTCACTGTATTTTAGATGATAATAGATCACGAAAAAATATAACTCTAGTTCATGTATGTTCATGTATGTAATATATCATAGTTTGCGTTTGTTGGATTTGTTGGGTCTTCCCCTCAGGTAAAGTCACACAGATATGGAAATGCATGGATGCATGGGTTTCCGAGTCGAAACATGATCTACGGTGGATTTTCCATACAACATGACGTTCGATACCTCGATGTTGGAACATGTTATATAGATAGATAGATAGATAGATAGGATAGGATAGGATAGGATAGGATAGGATAGATAGATAGATAGAGAGATAGACAGACAGACAGACAGACAGACAGATAGATATTTTAGATCTTCAATGATGTCAGATACCTTGTTGTAGCTTCATTTTTCCTTCAGAGGAGTCTCATGCCCACTTGATTGATCTTGAGCGGCCGTGGCAAGCGGTCCTATCCCCAAGATTTGATCTCGGTCGTCCTGTCCCCCTCTGGGGGTGTTGGTGTTTGATGGTAATACCCTCCAGTAATCAAACCTCCCCAAACCAAATGGAGGTTTTAGTGGGAAAAACATCGAAATGGTGGATTTTCCAGCCATGTTTGATTACTGGTACTGGAGGGTATCCCCATTCTTGGTACCTTTATCCGCACCAAGATGGTGCATTGTTCTCCCTACTATTCATGCTCCGCGGACTCCCACTTGCCATCTTGGGTTTTGCCCATCGGGGGCAGCTGGTCATCAGCTTGAGGATCGTTGAACTACTTATGGATTGGTGGCTGCGATGTACATGTTGCAAAAGATGCTAATGCTTCACTGGATTCATTGAAAGGTAACGCACTGGCGGCGGTTCTGTCCCTACTGAGCCTACTATGTCCAAACTAGATGATTTACTGCAAACGAAGACCAGTCCGTCAATCGTTCCACCACCAGCCCCACCCACATTCTCATTCTTCAAGATCCTTGCTGGTTGAATCCCCCTTTCTACTGTATGGGTCATATCCTCATTTCTGTCTTCATCTTTGTTGTTCATAGCCCATTTTGTTTTTATCACATCTCATGACTTTTTGATGGCTGAATTGCGCTTGGTCCAGCTTAAATTCAAATTTATTGCAACAGTTTCATTTTTACTCGCTCAGAGCATGTTAAACCACCATTTGTATCCATTTGTTGCGATTTTTTTTTGATGCTAAACTTACCGTCTTGATAGGTTAATCATCTTAAATCCCAAATTGTTGGCTAATGTTCTGATGTAAATTTCCCCCATCTAATCGGGCTGAATAACAATTCGGACAATTCCCCCGATCCAAACCATCCCCCATAGTGATGTTGCTGTGACGCGGTCAACAAAATAAATCAGCCAGATTTGGGTTCATCAATATGAATCCTCATTTTCCATCATTTTCCCTAGCAACATTGCCATAGCTGGGGGTGTTTTCAGACCAGATCCACTTCCACCTCCAAGGTCCGCAGCAAGTTGCAGGGAAGCTGTCTGGAACTGCCTGGGACCTCTGGGACTTGAGTCAAGGGGGATCCCCAAAACCACCAAGTCACCATGGGTTTCGTAAACCTAAAAACGTTATCCATGACGACTGGATGATTTGTGGGTACCTCCATGGATTGGAAACCTCCATTAATGGATAAACCATTACAGAATCGGGAAGAACACTGGGAATCTTGAAGTTCAGCCATTAATGTTACATCGACAATAGTAAGGGGGGGTCCCCCCTAAATTATATATATATATTTTTGGTTTTAGGGGGGGTCTGCTTTGCAATAGTAAATCGAAAATCCCAACTCTTCCCCAAGGCTTCTGTAAGGTTTCGACAAATCCTCTCTTTTCTGATAGGCTCTGATGGGATCTTCATTGGATTCTGATTGAGAACCTCTGTTTTCTGATAGGCTTTGATGGGATTCTCATTGACTGAACAAGGTAAAGTTCTGGATTTGGTAAAGGTTTGCTTTGTTTTTGCCTTTGAAAAGCATGCAATTGTAATTAAAAACAATTCAACCACAATAAAGAAAATTAAGGAAGAAGTGAAAAATACAGCTAGAGCCAGAAAGGTTGTTATTATTGCAAGTGCTACTTCCAATTTTTAATTGCAAATGCAAGGACCTGCAAGGGGGTACCCTTTGTGGACCGGTTTTTTGCATTTTTAAAAACATATTTTAATAAAGAAAACAGTTTTTTTTGAACAAGGTAAAGTTTTGGATTTGGTAAAGGTTTGCTTTGTTTTTGTTTTTGCTTCTGAGACACATTCCATGCTGACACCTCTGGGGTCTACAAGAAACAGTGCATCTGCTCATGGCAGGTCATGAATTACTGGTTCGGAGCTTTTTTCCTGCATCCATACTAAATCTCAATTAGCGCTTTTACAATTTACTATTGGAAAATCTGATAATTTGGGAATTTTCTGAAAATTACTTGTAGCTATTGCGAATGCAGCACAACTATTGCAGATGCTCTGGACCAAGATTGATGTCTGTAATTTAAAATCAATAAGGCCTAATTTAAAATCAATAGGGGCTGAAAAATCAGATTCTGAAAATTATTTGTAGCTATTGCACGCGCTTTACTATTGTCCATCCAACATTAAAACCCATCCAAATCCATGGAATCGAAGATCTGGAGATGTTTGGATCAACCAAATGTTCAATCAAAATTGGAATGTCAATGGGTTGGATTAAGAAATATGGGTTTGGGGTTTGAGAGACCTGCAAATATAGGGATTTGCAGCAGATTTTCTCAAGCAACAAATCGGGAATATATAAATCAACCATTCAAGAATGGGGTTTCAGAATAATCAAAAGGGAACAGGTGGGGGAATCTCGATCAAAAAAACATGGAGTGTTCACCAATCACCATTGGATGAAAATCAGCTGGCCCGTGATATCCTGCACAGAATTGCCACTGTTCTACAGATTGGGCCAAAATATCACCCCATCAACATGGCAAGCAATAAGTTCTAACTACCAACCAGTCTTCAAACATGGAGGGATTTTCACTGGATTTGGAAGAACATCTAGAGAAATCAAACCATGCCCCAAAAATGTGAAAGTCAAATTGGGGATCATCATCCCAGGTATGTATGGACAATTCTCAAAAGTCGAATGAACTTTTTCAAGAGTTGTTGCATCTTTTAATCAGTTTGCAAGTTAAAAAAACTGTCTAACATTTGGATGAAATTGGACCATAACCGGAAAAACAAGAATAACGCACATTCTTAGAAGTGGATAAAACTGGACATTCTTGCCGTCTAAATAGCAGAACAACTATTTAGAAAAATACGTCCTTTCAGGGAAATTTCCCTCTGGCAATTTCATAGTTTGCGAACTGCAACATCACAATTTTACGTAAATAATAGCAAAATCATCTATAAATGGTCCATTTTCATCCATTTTCATCCATTTTCCATAGATTTCCATCGCTAACAAATTACCTCAGGCTACGAATGTAGAATTTCCACCTCCAGAAATCCACATCCCAGGCCCACCATGCGGAGCCAGGTGTGACTGCCGCTACTTCGGCCCATCCAGGCCTGGGCATTGGCAGTGTTCCTATGATTTCCTATGAATTTTAGTGGGAACGTCCAAGTTTTAGGTGGAACAAATCAATGAACCAAAATTATTTTTCCACCAAATCTCGGATAAATGGATTTAAAGTTATTCACGTCGCTTCGCGACGGCAACCGCCCGCACCGCATCGTTGGGCAGCCGCTCGTAACTGCCAATGATGTCGGCCATTGAGACCAAAAACATCCGAAAGTACTGATTGTCGGAAAAAAAAACGCGAAGAATTTGATAGCCATGTATAGCGGACCAACACAGTTCAAAAAATAACGAAAAACATGAAAAAACGGCGAAATTGCTGTTATTTACAGTGTTTTTGCGCGGTGAGAAGCAGAAACCACTGCAAATACCATGGTTTTTGAGGGTCAGGTGGCCAAAAACACTGTAATTTACAGTGTTTTTTAACCAACGTCAAAAAACACTGGTATTTACGATGTTTTCATTCACACCGTAACATAAAACAGCGTAATTTACGAGGTTTTTGGAAGTTTTGAAGCTAGCCGTCAAGCATGCAGAAAACAGAAAAACACTGTAAAAACCAGTGCTTCTGCTATCACAAAACGACGAAAATCAGTCCGAAAACGGGTCCAAAAACTCAAAAATCCGCCTCCGGGCCCGGCCACCTGCGGAACCGCAAAAAAAGATGTTGCAAACCAAAAAATTGAGGTCAAAAAGTTGAAAAACACAGGTTTTTTTCACTTTTAGCTTGCCGATTTTGGACGGGCGCGTTCACGAACAGGTGTCTTCCGTACTGTTTTTTACAGTGTTTTTTGAAGGCGAGCGTCACGACCTATCAAAAACAGGAGGTTTTGGCCGAAAAATGCCCCCCCCCCCAGGTAAACCTGTAGCCTTTTTACGAGTGCCATCCGGAAGATCACGCCCCAGCACCTTCGGTGCGGGCGGATTTTAAATTACTTTACTTCGTGTGATCCCCACCATGACATTTATACATTTTCTTACTGGCAAATCTTCTGGCATTCTATCTGACATATCTTCTGACATTCTATTTGGCATTCTATCTGGCATATCTTCTGGCATATGATCTGGCATATCTTCTGGCATATCTTCTGCATTCTATCTGGCATATCTTCTGGCATATATTCTGACATATCTTCTGGCATTCTATCTGACATATCTTCTGGCATATATTCTGACATATCTTCTGGCATATCTTCTGGCATATCTTCTGGCATATCTTCTGGCATATCTATCTGGCATATCTTCTGGCATATTTTCTGGCATTCTATCTGGCAAATCTTCTGGCATTCTTCTGGCATATCTTCTGGCATATCTATCTGGCATATCTTCTGGCATATTTTCTGGCATTCTATCTGGCAAATCTTCTGGCATTCTATCTGGCATATCTTCTGGCATATTATCTGGCATTCTATCTGGCATATCTTCTGGCATATATTCTGACATATCTTCTGGCATTCAATCTGGCATTCTATTTGGCATTCTATCTGGCATATCTTCTGGCATATCTTCTGACATTCTTTCTGACATGCTTTCTAACTTTCTTCTGCACATTCTTTGTCCCATATCTTCCTACATGAGGTCCGGCAGGGAACACTTGGCGTGGATACTCGCGGTTGAGGTCCGGCAGGGAACACTGGGCGTGGATGGTCGTGGTTGAGGTCCGGCGGGGAACACTGGGCGGGGATGGTCGTGGTTGAGGTCCGGCAGGGAACACTGGGCGTGGATGGTTGTGGTTGAGGTCCGGCAGGGAACACTGGGCGTGGATGGTCGTGGTTGAGGTCCGGCAGGGAACACTGAGCATGGATGGTCGTGGTTGAGGTCCGACAGAGAACACTGTGGATCGCGGGTCGCAGTTGGACGAGGAGGACGAGGAGGACGAGGAGGAGGACGACGAGGAGGAGGAGGAGGAGAGGAGGAGGAGATGAGGAGGAGATGAGGAGGAGAGGAGAGGAGCAGGCAACTGACATAAAATCTAACAACCCTCACCTGGCAGGTGGGGAAAAATTCAATGGTTTCCAAGCCAAACCATAACATTTCATAACTGGACCTCGGCGATGAAGTAGCTATGAATCATCCAGCCCGCCTCCGAAATCCAGACGGTGCGGCAGGAAAAGTTTCTACACACCTCAGCAGTTTCTGATCCGGACTTGGGAACAATAGGAACCACGAAATCTGTCTTTGAGGGACCCTCATGTGCATAGAAACTTTTGCTGGGGCTAAGGGTAGGGAGTGCAGCAATGCTCTCATGGGATCTCTCCTGGGTGGTTTTCTTGACACTATTTTTGTGACATATTATGTTGTGACATATGAAATCATATATCATTATGCATTCTTAAATAATATTAATATTTTTTATATATTATGATCATTATTATAATAAATTATTAAGTGTCAATATTTCATCCCCTTCAATATCATTTGTGTAGTAACGCCCTAATGCTTTTTGGTCCTCCATTTGGGTCACAGCTGGTGTAGCTGGATGTTCATCCCCACATCAAGCGATGCTTGCATAGGTGGCATGCCCTATCCCCAAACCTATCCAGATATCCCATGGGAATCCCATGTTCGCTGGTTTACGCACCATTTAGGTTACTCTCCGGTAATCAAAAATGATCATATTTCACATCATTTATAGATGATTTGCAAGGATTTTCCCATTAAAACATCCATCTCTAGGGATTCATGTGAGCAATCTCGAAAGCCCTAGGTTCATGGAATGGACGTTCACAAATTTGGAAAAGTCCCATCGCTCACCGCACGTTTGCACAAAAATGATATATGGCAAACTTGGGGGGTATCGCTTGCAGGACAAATTAATGATCTACTTGACTCCAGAGCGGAGGCTGTGCTTCATTTTTGATTAGGCATCTTCGCTGCAGGACTCTGAGCTATCTAAGAAATTACTGGAAAAGGTGCTTTGCAAATCTCTTTTTCCCCGCCCCCAGCATGGACAGCCAGCTTGTTGGCCAGCCACCTCTACACAGCCACTCTTATAGCGAGCTCTCCAGCTTTCCGGGCGTACAAGCCTGAATGCTATGGCGCTTGCCAACTTTCTGGGCCCCTACAGGCCCGAACCTTTGCCAGAAAGAATGTCAGATAGAATGCCAGTCTATCTATATCTATATCTATATATCTATCTGTCTGTCTGCCTGGCTGGCTGGCTAGCTAGCTCCTATCTATCTATCTATCTAATCTAATTCTAATCTAATTCTAATCTAATCTAATCTATCTGGCTGGCTGGCTAGCTGGCTAGCTGGCTAGCTGGCTAGCTGGCAACCTATCTATCTAGCTATCTTTATCTAGCTTGCCACCAGAAAACCTGAATGTCTCACAGGCTGATGTGCACCTGTGTGTCTGGAACAGAAAAGGGGTATCGCGTGGGCATCGCTAGAGCATCGCTAAAATTCACCTCATGATTTTCCAAATTGGTATCTGTTGACTGTTGATACTGTAGTATCATGACGCAAAATGCTTCATTTTACTGGAAACCAGCAAATAATTCAAAAAACAAAAAACCAGTACCTAGGGGGTGCCCCGGCGGCTCGTGGTACCCCTTTTTTTGTGGTACCTTTTTTTTTTGATTGTTTTTTTGTTTTTTTTCCCTTGGAAAAAACAAAAAACAAAACAAAAAAAACACAAAAATGGGTACCACGAGCCACCGGGGCAGGTTGCTTGTCCTCATCAAGGGTAATAGGCGCATTGTTTGAAGCTTTGACTAGGCAGCCCTTGTTGGATTTTGAGAGTTTTGTCGCAGCTTGGCAGCAGGCAACGCAGCAGACTGTGGACTTTGAGAGCAAGCGGTATCAACAAGCTGCGGCGATTAGGGAGAAGCACAATGTCTCTCTGAGTTTCAAACCATGCATGTTTATTGTATTTTGTTTGTTTTTTGTTTTGTTAATTGTTTGTTTTTTGGGTTGTACTTTGTTTGTAATTTGTTTTTTTAAAATAATTTTAATTATTTTCCATTTTCCAATGAATGAAGGTCTCTCGACGTCACAACCGTAGTACTTTGCCAGAAAGCAGCTTCATGAAACAACAGCAGAGAGTCAGCAAAGAGGCAAGCAAAACAGTGTCAGTTCACATGGGGGGGTCAATGGAAACACCTTTCAGCAACGACAATAATTTGTCAGTGTCACAAAGAAGCTTCACTGAACAACAGCAGTGGGGAGATAAAGCCAACGGAGAGGCAATGGAAATGGCGCAAGTTCAAGTGGAGAGTCAATGAAAACATGCAAGGCAAGGATGTGCAGGCAGCTAGTGAAACAAACCTTGGCTTCCGCTTCTGCGGATTCCCTTCTCTGCGGACCACCCCATGGATATCAAGGACACTTTCTGAGGAGCACGTACCCTTGTGGGCCCAAATCTGGTTCACAAACGACGTCAGAAATCAATGTTCAAAATGACATTACCTTGAAAGGGGGTATCGCTTTGGAAAGGTCCCATCGCTTAACCTCGTGTTAACAATTTCCACCAGTTTCCACAAACCAATCATAGGCAATTAACATGGTTACCAATGTCATCCAGTGTCCGTCCCTTCCGTCCCTTACATGTTTAGTGCTCATCTGGCCCATCTTGGGATGCCGCGCCAAGGGTGCCTCACTGGGATGCAGCGACAGCACCAGGGCACCGCAACCTCCGAGGCGGTAGGCCTTGGTGACCGGTGACCATTCGACCCTTCCATTTTCCTTCTGATTTTCCTTCTGGTCCTTTTGTTTTTTGGGACCTTTTTGGGGGAAATCTCAGTTTTTGCTGGTGGAATCTATATAAGTTTTTTTCTGTTTTTCTTTGTTGGTTCAAGTTTTGAACTCGTTTCTTTTTCGGTTGAAGATGGTGGATGCATTTCTTTTGGGAAGTAAAAACTGTTTTTCAATGGTGCATTCAGGTACCTAACCTGAAGTACTGAGCCATTTGAGGCCATATTCTTGGGCCATATCCCCGCAACATAGGCCTTACATGGGCCTTACATAGGCCTTGTGGTAAGTACCTTCAATTCAAATTGACATTTCCACTTATGTTGTACGTACACGTGCAGATGGATGAACATAAGGCATTACCTGATCATTTGCGAATTATACTTATACTGATACTTCTATCTATTTTTCTGGAAATCTCTACTCTCCAGTATGCAAACCTGGCCATGGAAAGCCTACATCTTTAACTCGTCAATCAACTACAATCTACATAGGATGGATTTTCTGAGGAATCAACCAGCAAATACAAGGATTTACCTAATAAAAGGTGAGGATTTAACCAACAATAATGGTTGGCTTATGAAGCTCCCAACCAAACATCAGAATTTTACCAACACTACCAATACACAGGAACACAGCCAAACAAAAAAAGGGATTTAGAACCAACAACATCCCGGATTCTTTCTTGGGATTTGAACCGACAACCACGGTGAAATGTATGATCAGGGTTATAAGTTATAACCCAATCATCGGGTCGGTCTACACTTTCAGGGGACTTAACAACAGTTAACAACAATTGTCACTACCGTAGCACAGCTGTAAGGAGATCACGTGGTATGGAGCACAGATTTTCAGATGCTCATCCCGCTTTGTCAACAAAAAGGGCATAACCCAAAACGGCAACTCCCATGGGAATCATGATCAAATCAAATAGATTATGATAATTTATAATCTTTTGTTTTGTACCCAATTTTTAGGCGACCCCAACTACAGAGTTTCTGGGGCCGCATCAAGCCGAGCCCATGGCGAGATTGAAAACGCAGCTGCTTTGATTCGCCGAGGGAAGCTCAAGCAGCTTGTCCTGCTCAACTGAGCAGTGGACAAGACCCACAGGGAACATGGGGTATTTGGGTACAATCGGATTTGATTGGCAAACATGAGAAGAGACAATAGCAAACAATCTTCCACTGAATTTTTGTCTGGTTGCTCAAGTGTGGACCTTCCCTGCCTGCCTTCATTCTGACATCTGCCTCTCACTCGTCTCAATCAATAGTCTGAAATCTTAAGAACAGATTTGAGTCAGAGAAGCAGATCTGAGCCTAGGTCACCAAGGTCATTTGAAAGAAAGCTGGACCTCTTGACCATAGGAAATTGCGCCGAACCTAAATGGCCCACCGGGAGTGTTCACTTATCCTAGAACGACGTACCTGACTTGGCCCTTTCCAAGCATAGTTTGGCTCCATTCAGGTACGAACATGAAAGTCGAAAATCTCCGTTCAGTTCCTACCTGGTACAAAATCCGTTGACCCTGATCTTCCACGGCAATGCCCTTTCCCATCTATGTCACTTGCCCATGACGTTCCTTGTTCAACTCTGGGCCGAACAGTAAATGAACTTGAATGAGCCCTAAACCGAACCTAAATGGCCCACCGAGAGTGTTCACTTATCCTAGAACGAAGTACCTGACTTGGCCCTTTCCAAGCATACTTTGGCTCCGTTCAGGTACGAACATGAAAGTCGAAAATCTCCGTTCAGTTCCTACCTGGTACAAAATCCGTTGACCCTGATCTTCCACGGCAGTGCCCTTTCCCATCTGTGTCACTTGCCCATGACGTTCCTTGTTCAACTCTGGGCCGAACAGTAAATGAACTTGAATGAGCCCTACACAATCCACTTGTTTGAGTCACTGATTCAATAATGCATTCAACAAAAATAGGGAGTTTGGGATGCTGCGCACAAGATATGATTCGGGAATATTTGGGATGCTAGCACAAGACATGAAGGGAATCCTTCATGAACGGAAGGTTCGCGAATGCTTGCAATGTTTGACGTTCCTACGGTTCATAAGAGCTTAGGGGGCCTGGAGTGCATGGAAAGGCCACCAAGGTCATTTGAAAGAAAGCTGGACCTCTAGACCGTGGGAAATTGCGCCGAACCTAAATGGCCCATCGGGAGTGTTCACTTATCCTAGAACGAAGTACCTGACTTGGCCCTTTCCAAGCATAGTTTGGCTCCGTTCAGATACGAACATGAAAGTCGAAAATCTCTGTTCAGTTCCTACCTGGTACAAAATCCGTTGACCCTGATCTTCCACGGCAGTGCCCTTTCCCATCTGTGTCACTTGCCCATGACGTTCCTTGTTCAACTCTGGGCCGAACAGTAAATGAACTTGAATGAGCCCTACACAATCCGCTTGTTTGAGTCATTGATTCAATAATGCATTCAACAAAAATAGGGAGTTTGGGATGCTGCGCACAAGATATGATTCGGGAGTATTTGGAATGCTGAGCACAAGACATGAAGGGAATCCTTCATGAACGGAAGGTTCGCGAATGCTTGCAATGTTTGACCATGTTCCTACGGTTCATAAGAGCTTAGGGTGCCTGGAGCACATGGAAAGGCCATCAAGGTCATTTGAAAGAAAGCTGGACCTCTTGACCGTGGGAAATTGCGCCGAACCTAAATGGCCCACCGGGAGTGTTCACTTATCCTAGAACGAAGTGCCTGACTTGGCCCTTTCCAAGCATAGTTTGGCTCCGTTCAGGTACGAACATGAAAGTCGAAAATCTCCGTTCAGTTCCTACCTGGTACAAAATCCGTTGACCCTGATCTTCCACGGCAGTGCCCTTTCCCATCTGTGTCACTTGCCCATGACGTTCCTTGTTCAACTCTGCGCCGAACAGTAAATGAAGGAAATGCCCTCTGCTTCTGGTCCACGGTCTCCCACATGCTCAGCATGCGGTACCAAAATCCAGTGCCCCAATGCTGGAAGAATCTGGAGAAACCTCTTCTAGACACTGCAGGATTGAGCAAAAGGGTCTATGGTTCATGAGAGCTTAGGAAGCCTGGAAAGGCCACCAAAGTCATTTGAAAGAAAGCTGGAACCCCTGACCGCTGGAAATGGTGCCGAACCTAAACGGCCCACCAAGTGTGTTGATTGATCCTAGAATGAGGTTACCACCCTAGATCTTACTCAATTTAAGATTTGCAAAAAGGTCGAAGAAATCCGTTGACCAATGGCTGAACTTTGCAAACTTGAATCTGATGTTACACCGAAAGACCCTTTCCGATCTGCGCCACATGCCAAGGACGTTGCTTCTTCAACTCTGGGCCAAACAGCAAGATGGGCCCTACACAATCCACTTGTTTGAATCATTGATTCAAGGATAGATTCAACAAAAATGGGCGGATTTTGGATGCTGCGCCACGAGGATTTCCAGTATACCTTTCGGAATGTTGGTTCAGAATTCAAGTCGTGTGTGAGCTTGGAAATACCATGACAGGAAACGGCGGATATGACAAAAAAAATCAAATCCAAATACAATTCAGCCACAGCTGAGAAGGCACTTCCTGTGGGGAAGCAACCTGCCCAGCAGCAACCTGATGCAGCATGCCAGCCAGGCAATGAATGGGTTTTCAGGTATGAGCTTCGGTACCCCTCATCATGTGGACCTTCCCTGCCTGCCTTCATTCCGACATCTGCCTCTCACTCGTCTCAATCAATAGTCTGAAATCTTAAGAACAGATTTGAGTCAGAGAAGCAGATCTGAGCCTAGGTCACCAAGGTCATTTGAAAGAAAGCTAGACCTCTTGACCATGGGAAATTGTTGTGGGACACCCAATATTTTCAACAGAATATCGACCATCCAGCTATTTTCCTTTCGCGGAGACACCATAGGTTAACTCCTTCATAAATTTGTCAAACTTCACACGATTTTCAGCCAAGACATGAAACGCACCCACCACACCGCTACCCTTGAAGATCAACTGCAGGAAATGTCACAAAGTCTGCACGACAGATTCGTGTCGCCTAGCGTCCTACAGTGGTATTCGTGGCATCTCATACTTCCAGAGTCGTGCCAGGTCACAAAGTCATAGATTCGTGTCGCCTATAGCGTCCTACCCTGGTATTCGTGGCACCTCATACTTCCAGAGTCGTGCCAGGTCACCAAGTCAAACTGCCCACAAACCACCGTTTGTATCCGTTTGTTATCAATTGATATCAATTGCGCTTTGACTGTTTGATCATTTCACAAGAGGATAGATTCCACAAAAAATGGTCAGATGGATGCTGCGAGATCATGAGAGTGGCCTGGAGGGAGCAAATGGAAAGGTGTTTTCTTCAGACCTTAGAAACCAGGCCCACTGGGAGTGGTCAAGGCTCCCAAAACTTCTGAAGAGTTGCTCATGATCGCGAGCTTTCGCGCCCAGCGATTTTCCTTTCGCGGAGACACCATAGGTTAACTCCTTGATAAATTTGTTTAAGGCATGTTTGAAGGCTGCTCATGTCGGTTGCAGGTCGACTGCTACATTGTCATCAACGTTCAAAGCACGTTCATGGGAGGAGCGGGTTCAGCTCTACGTCTTGCGTCTGCCATCGTCCGAAGCCTGGGAGCATGTCTGGATTATTCTGCCGAAGCAGATTTCTGAGCATCTAGACTCATTGCCGATTTGCAGGCGACTGACAATGATTTGAGTCAGAGAAACACATCTGAGCCTAGGATCTTCTTCTGCTACCAACCGAGCAGCTCATTGGCATGCTCTGCATTGAGGCTACTTTAGGCAATCATCACACTTCGGCGCTTTGATAACAGGTTTGAAAGCACTCTGTGAGCCGAAACACGCAGTGGGTGCCTTTAATGATGGCGGCAGATCTCAAAGCACTCAAACTCCAAGAAGACATCCTTGGAAAGTTTTCATCAGGGAAAGCACGCGCAAAAGAAGTGCCCCCATCTCATTGCCTAGCATGCTTTTGTTTCGAACTTGACATGAAACAGTCAACACATGGTGCCTAAAGTCATCTAAAGTCCATGTTGGATACTTGGTATGACTGGCATCCTGGCATCTGGGGTCCAACCTCATTATGCCATCAGTGAATATGATGTCCCCAGATGTTCCCTGTCGCTATGCCAAGGCATTGAGGACATGTTCCGTACGAAAAAACGTGTGCCAGGAATGAAACAATAAAAACCTCGGACCACGAAGATACCTAACATGTTACAAATAACCATAGTAAGTATAGATATATCTACCATAAACCATATATAATTATTGGAGTTATGTTCACCAACTTGGCTAACGAACTGGGGCATCACCTTATGTCTGTCTTGAAACATGTGGGTCAAAGGAGGTCACAAATTCTGTGTGTGTGTCGCTGGCAAACACAGAAAACATCCAATTTGACCAACTTGATGTTTGAACACAATCTCAATCACATTGATTCGAAGTGGAATAATTAATTTTGGGGTTGATATGGATTCATAAGATATCATAAGTTTCACACACTCCGGATTTGAGACACATCAACCAAACATGGCTCATGCCCTCAGCAGAAAGTCCTTTTTACGTCTTGAAATCCTGCCGAGAACTCCGGTGTTGTCGGGAGCTTCGCCAATACCTCAGCTCCACAAGAACAGCACAACCCCTCAAGGTACCACTGACCCCATCATAGACTCCATAGACTCCATAGAGCTCACACGTGGGGTCTTGGGTATTGGATTCGTTGAAATTAGGTCGAGTAGTGCCATCTCCAATCTCAAGAACCACCCAATTTAAAAAACAAGATGCAGCCCACGAACCTGAATGCAGTCACGTAAAACACTTTTGTGAAACAAGCGATTTGAACTATATTGTCGGAAGTTTGAGTTCTAAACTTCCTTTTCTAAACTTCCTTCGATAACCCCCATTAAATTCCACGAAAATCGATTGCATCCGGCTTATATCCCCATTAACATCCATTAGAACCCCATTAAAAAGTGGCGAAATTGCCATAGACATAGCCACATCTTGCCCAGTGGCACTCGCTGATTCAAGACCACGAACCACGGACGGAGTGCGGACTCCATCTGGAGTGAGCTGGGCACCCAGCTGTGAATCAGGGAGAGGTTCCGAGGAAATCGTTGCAGGAACGGCCAAAAAAGCAAGATATACAATGATATACATAAACAAGATTCAAAAGCTGGAAAGGGAAAATCTTTAGATAAACATCAATTTTGCATGATTTTACCAATACTTTTGGGCCTATTTGAATGTAGTTGACTAGATTTTTATTGCTTGATCTTTTTGGGGGTCGCTAGCAATATTCTTGGAATGAAGGAATGACTTGGCCACCGGACAAAAACAGGATGATCCTGGAATTGTTTTAGTAAATCGCTCGTGTGGATTGATTGCTCTTCAAGCTTCTGGATTGGTGGTTTAAGAAGTTTATGGAATGATTGATGATTGTGGATCGAACATGATTAACATGATTATTGGTTTATGATTTATGATGTTTATGGTAAAGCAGGATGATCTCCAATTTGCAGCTCTTATTCGGCAGAAACCACCCAGGTTACCTCATGGTATCGGTACCCCAGCCATGACTCCACGACAGCTGCCATGGTAAAGGTTTCCAACGTGATGCTCCCCGGTGAAGATATCTGGATAGGAAGAGGTTTCGGCCCCCCGGAAAGGTTAAATCAACATTCGCCAAGTAGTGGTTTAGAATCCATGTCGCTATGTTTTGGATGGCTGAGTACTTGAAAATATATGAAATGATGATAAATGATGAAACAGTTTTTGGTATGTGCTGCGCCCTTCGAGGTCCTCAGACGGGTCACATGTGTTTTTGGTGACACCTTCACAGCACTAGGTATGGATGTTGATATCTGGCATAGAATGTGAGGCTCACCTGTCAGATTCAAAGAGCCAAAACGATGCGTTGGATTAAATTTGAGACCAAAAGGGGCACAACTGGTCGGTTTCATCCATGTTCACTACTAATCATCCTATTTTGGGGCAACCATGTCTCCACAGTGGATGAAACAAGGACACTTTGGAAACATGGAAGGTGCATCAATTTGCACATGTTGTAAGCATCATGTGGGCAGGGGTACAAATGCCTAAGCACTTCCCGAAGATGCACTGAAGAATAAAATAATACTCAATTCTATAAGAAATCAATCTAGAATCAGTTCCCCAAATAGGTGCATGTTCAGTTTCGACCCTTTCCCACTTGATATGCTTTGACAGGCTTTGGCTTGCCCGCCCCTCAGCGCCACAACTCCCAATCTGTTCGCGCCATCTCTCTTTTTTTGGTTCCCACATGAGGTCGCACATGTGTTGCGCTTCATTCTTTCCACCTGCATTTGCTCAAAGTGGGCATTGTCATCAGCACATCTGCAGGTCCCACAACCCTTGATTTGCTGGGGAGCAAATCACCACGGACTTCAGACCGTGGCTCCTCGTCTTTTTCGGTGCTACTTCAGGTGACGTGCTGTGGTGCGTGGTTCCCGGCTTTCAACCCCTGCTTCGCCACCAGCAGGCGACACAAGAGTCTTTGGGAACGGCGGGCACAGTAGCAGACTCCACCTTGACGAGCTTCAATTCGCTTCGGCGATGGGAGCATCCGATGCAAGAGACTGATGCTTCGTTGGGAGCGAAAAGCCGACGGGCTTGAAAGAAACTGAAAGAAGTGATGGATGTTTCATGGCAGCCATAGCAATTCAAATCCATCGATAAAAGTAATGGCACTCATACGCAGAAAACTGGAAGAGTTGACAATTTTTGCATGGCCATTGTCAAGCTTTGGACACACTTCAGGTTGCCTTTTAACTGTGCATCGGGTTGTTTCCAATCTCATGCACTTCCACAAAACAACCCTGAGAAAACAGTTCATTCCTGTGGTGAACAGGAGCGATACTCGGGATATGGTGAAATAGTCATTCGAAAGGCACAGGCACACATGAGCCAGTGACATGTCAGGTTATCCATCAGATTTCTCCGAGAGCAAAGTTTGTAGCAGTGCACCATCCACTGCTGCGGCCTGATGTTTCAGCAAATTTCCTGGCTTCATGAACCCCAAGTCACGACAATTTAAAACACCCAAAACCTTCCAGCACTGCCGACTTCTGCGTTACAACCGGTAGGTTGCAAAGGAGATTTGGACTTGCCATGGCCACAAAAGTTACCCACTAAAAGGTGGTTCTGTTCGTTTTGGGATCCCATCGAAGCCATTAGGTCTAGCTACAGCGGCTCTTTTCGACCAATTTTTCGGCGACGCAAACGTGACGATCAAAGTCGAACATCTCCGTTCAGTTCCTACCTGCTACAAAATCCGTTGACCAATGGCTGAACTTGGCAAACTTGGACCTGATCTTACACCGAAAGACCCTTTCCGATCTGCCGCACATGCCAAGGACGTTGCTTGTTCAACTCTGGGCCAACCACTAAATGGACTTAAAGAGGCCCCCTGCAATACACTTGTTTGAGTCATTGATTCAATGATAGATTAGATTCAACAAAAATGAGGGATTTGGGATGCTGCGCATAAGACAGAAAGGGTAAAAGCATGAACGGAAGGTTCCCGGATGCTTACAAAATTTTGACCATGTTAGTACGTTGCTACGGTTCATGAAAGCTTAGGAGGCCTGGAGCACATGGAAAGGCCACCAAAGTCATTTGAAAGAAAACTGGACCCTGCGACCTTGGGGATTCAAATGGCCCACTGGGAGTGGTCAAGTCTCCCAAAGCTTCAGAAAAGATGGTGATTTTTGGGCACTCCAAGGTTTGAGAAGAGTTGCTCATGACTTTCCTTGTTCAACTCTGGGCCAAACAGCAAAATGAGCCCACCACAATCCTCAAGTTACTAAGATGATAGAGTGAATCTATTGGAGCCATGAAGGAAATACCCTCTGCTTCTGGTCCACGGTCTCCCACATGCTCAGCATGCGGTACCAAAATCCAGTGCCCCAATGCTGGAAGAATCTGGAGAAACCTCTTCTAGACACTGCAGGATTGGACAAAAGAGTCTACGGTTCATGAGAGCTTAGGAGGCCTGGAAAGGCCACCAAAGTCATTTGAAAGAAAGCTGGGCCACCTGACCGTTGGAAATTGCGCCGAACCTAAATGGCCCACCGGGAGTGTTCACTTATCCTAGAACGAAGTACCTGACTTGGCCCTTTCCAAGCATAGTTTGGCTCCGTTCAGGTACGAACATGAAAGTCGAAAATCTCCGTTCAGTTCCTACCGGGTACAAAATCCGTTGACCCTGATCTTCCACGGCAATGCCCTTTCCCATCTGTGTCACTTGCCCATGACGTTCCTTGTTCAACTCTGGGCCGAACAGTAAATGAACTTGAATGAGCCCTACACAATCCACTTGTTTGAGTCATTGATTCAATAATGCATTCAACAAAAATAGGGAGTTTGGGATGCTGCGCACAAGACATGATTCGGGAGTATTTGGAATGCTGAGCACAAGACATGAAGGGAATCCTTCATGAACAGAAGGTTCGCGAATGCTTGCAATGTTTGACTATATGTTCCTACGGTTCATAAGAGCTTAGGGGGCCTGGAGCACATGGAAATCGGAAAGGCCACCAAGGTCATTTGAAAGAAAGCTAGACCTCTTGACCATGGGAAATTGCGCCGAACCTAAATGGCCCACCGGGAGTGTTCACTTATCCTAGAACGACGTACTTGACTTGGCCCTTTCCAAGCATAGTTTGGCTCCGTTCAGATACGAACATGAAAGTCGAAAATCTCCGTTCAGTTCCTACCTGGTACAAA